TAAGTTTAAGGAATGTTTGGAGATTATTGGGTTGCATGTATTTTCCTTGCTGAAACACCGACATCTGGTGTCTTTTGAAATATTTACATAGACCAAGAAGATATGACCAGGAACCTAGGGGAGAGCTGTTCCCACCTGGCCAAGCAATTGAAAGCAGGTGATATCCCACAGGACATCTTTAATGGCACTGTTCTGCTGTCCTCTGTGAAGAGTGGATCTGCAGAAAATTGAAATGACACAACCAAGAACTTTAAATAGCTACTGCATGACAGAAGCTTCCCGTTACTGCTGACAAGAGCTGAACCTAATTTGGTGATTTAGAGGGTTAAAGCTTCAAAACCAATAAGTCTTCCCTTGGTTTGGGGAATTCCCTGAACAGTCATAACTGGAGTCTACCCATGATTTGCAGGGGAAAAAAAAATTAAAAAAGGACATGAAGATAAGCTGCCAGATGTGGTTTGTAGAGGGTTTTTTTTGTTTGTTTGTTTGCTTTTTAAATAATGAGAAAACTCTGGAGGAAAGACTGGAGCTTGATGACACTAAAAAAAAATCATAAAATTTGTCCTTTTGTGTGCTGTTAATTTCTGTCTGTAGACATCTGAAATTGATGGGTTTATAAAAGACGTGAGAACTGTGCTCAACTTCTGATCTTTGCTTTAAGTCCTCAAAATGAAGGAATAGCAGATGTTCCTTTTCCTGAACCATTTTAAGAGTTGAAGTTCAAATCATCAGTCCAGAAAAACTGGCTTTGTATCAACTCCTTTAAGGATGTATAACTAAATTTCGCTAATTGCTAAGACAGTGCGGATTTTTTTTGGTTATCTTCTTTGTTCTAGCTAAGTGTAAATCAGCAATTTTAGCTACATGATTTTTTTCAAAGTTGTTAATGGACTGTAAAATCAGTTAACAAAATACTAATTTTAACTGTAATATAGCAGTGGTTTCCTCTAGTGGTACTTTGCACACAAAAGAGCAGTTCTGCTAATTCAGTAGTTATATCTAAAGGGTGAAGACAAGAATAGTAATACAGCCAGGGAGCTATTTTGACATTCTGGAAAGAGAAGAAAATATGAGAGGAATGCGAGATAAGTGTCCTGCAGTTGGCATCAACTCCCTCTTCTGTGTTTGGTGGGATGTGAAATGTGAAGATATTATTGATCCGGCTCTCATGTCAGCTACGTGAGTTGTATGCACATGTGCTTAGGAAGAAGTGCAGTGTCTGCTACCCAGGGATAAATCTCCCTTGGGCTTCCAAGAGACTGGGTCTACACAGAGGTAGAGAGGGGTTGATGTTGTGGAGAGAGGAGATTCAGATTTAAAGCTGTCACTGTCAAACAGCCATTCTATTGGCCTAGCCGTTCTTGTGTTTCAGCTTGAAACTGCTATTGGAATTCAGCTCAAATCGGGGTTTAAACTAAAGCAATATAGAGTGTGGAATCTGTTTAATCAGAAAGTGTCATCAGTTCAAGCATCCCATCTAAACAGAAATCATCATTTTATAGTGAATTAATCATGAGATGAAGTAATTATGATCATTTTTACCTTTTTGAAGCACTTTGGCTAATTTGTGAATAGCCAGAGAATTTTGATATCTGTGCTAGCCTCACCATTCACCTGTTCACAGGATTTTCTGTGATTTGAAAGACAATGTATTTTGTGCAGGAAAAGTGACTGTGTTCCCTGGAATGAGATTTTTAACATGAACAGAGTTAAGTAAACAGGGAAAGTTTAATTAGCCTTTTACCTTATGTTTGTTTTACAGGCTACAATGTGAACTCGATTGATACATAAGCAATTAGCCTAAGCTGGTGGCTACCCAGCAACTGAAATTCAGTGAGAAGAGCCTGAGGTGATGTTGTGGGAAAGAGAACTACATTTTGTCTTGAGAAATGCACTTCTGTGAGAGTGTGTAGCTTCCAAGAACTGACTCTGCCTTTGTGTTTTTTTGGAGCTGTCTGTAGCCTCCAGAAATGGTGCATTTCCAAATATGGCAGTCGTCTCCCTCCTAGGCTGCTCATCTGGCTGTTTGCATCGTTCCTGTGCAAGTTCCAAGCAGTAGGCCTCAAATGCCAGGAAAGTAGCTGGACCTGGAAAAACAGGGCAAAACGCAACAAGTCTGTAGCTGTGATCTGACAGATTCCTTACAGGCTGCGTTGCAGAGCAGAGTTTGTTCTGTCTGCTGTGGGGAATTTTAGCAGCTTGCTCAGCTCTGTCACTGTCAGGGTTTAAGGCTTGTAAGGGTCAGTGTGTGGGTCATGGGAGTTAGAGGTCCAGATTGGGATGCCCATTTATTACAGGACTTATTTTGGACTATATGTTAGTGTGATAGAAAAAATAGGTGTCCTTTAGGCAAACACTCAGGCTGCATGTAGCACCTCTGTGTGTGTCGTGTTGAAGGGACATAATCTTTTTATAGTTTAATACTGATTTGCTCGCATGATTCACTAAGCTTATCAGTTGCAGACAGTCTGGGAGAATGAAATGGAATGGAAATGCTTGTCAAGAAATGAAACAATTTGCATCACTAAAATAATCTTCTGGGCAGATTTATATTTTGTGGGCGGAGTAAGATAAAATGAATGTCCTCTAATGTTACATGAGAGGCTGGCCTGTGGTGCAGGGAAGCTATGGCTATTTGAAAATAGTGAATGTACCATGCAAAATAGGAGAGGCACCTGGTGCAGTGCACCTGGCCAAAATCTTTGGATTAGCCTGTAACCAGCTCCTAGGCAAGGGATAAAGAGCCTGCCTTTTCATCTACCGCTCCCCCACCCCAGATTATGCTTCCTGCTCAGCACTGTTCCTTCTCAGCACTGTTCCTTCTCTGTTTTGGCACTTGGAGGACAGCAGTGATTGTTCCAAGCTCCATGCAGTTTCTGGGGAAGGCGTTGTCTCAGTGAGGATGTCTGGGAGATAGGACAAAGTTGTTTCTTTCTATTTGTCTCATTATCTCTTGTCATATGTAGTGGGAAATCATTAAGTGTGTTATTCATGTCATGAGACTGATTTAAAACCAAAGTTTAGAAAGGGACAATTTACATAGTTTCAGTTTAATTATCTTATGATGATTCCTGTACTTGCTATAATCATCCTTCTCTCTTCCAGCATCTCATTACTTAAGTGCCCCTTTGACCTCCTTAAAGTGATCTTTGATCCACAAACTTCTTCCAGTCTGCCCTCCCATCTTCCCAGAGAAACAGGACGAAAAACCTCATACTTCTTCCTAGTACAGGCAGAATGTTATCACATTTCTCAGCTCCAACATGCGTTTTAGTAGTTGAGGACAATGCTGTTGAGTAGTGGCTGTCATCCTTGACCAACCTCCCACCCACCCACAGAGGCTGCAGTCAGTGATAGCAGGAGATGATGTTACTGTAAAATAAAGGTCGTGTTTTGTAGAGCAGGTGCCTGTTCTGGCACAACAGGCTGCAGTCCTTGCCCCAAACAGGACCTTGTGCAGTTGTGCTCCATGGCGCTCAGTACCTGCTTACCTTCCTCGCCTTTGGTTATTCTAATCTGAGGCATTAAAAACAGGAAAAATTGAATATAATGGGCTCATTTTTGTAGGGACAAAAAGAAGCTTGAAAGCACAAGCCCATTCTTCTGGCTATGCTAAATTTGAGGACAAAACCATACTTAAATAACAACATACTTTTTTTTTTTTTCTAAAACAGTGCATGTTAAATAATAGGCTGAAGGAAATATGCAGGGATTAACTTGAAAACAGATGTTTATAATGATTCAGTGACTTATGTTAAGTACATTCCCAGATGCAATTAAAACAGACTTCTTCTGAATTTAGGGGATGTGTTGATAAAACTGATAACATTCTGCATGATCCTGGAGGAGGAAGTATGAGCTGCAAGTATGCATCCTCCAGCAGAGATCTCATCAGGTCTGAAAAACTAAGAGAGGTCACACCAGGTCACTTCTTGTAGTGGGAGACCCAATGTTTTTTTCCAGGCATAACCATGTCCTGCAAGGACTAAAGCCAATGATTCACTGGGTGGCACCTTTACCTTCTGATCCTTACTGGGGTTGCACTGTACCATGTCTTGGTGCTGTTTTCAGATCCAGTTCTTTTTCTGCCTTATATGATAAAAACTCCTTATAATCATGTTAATTCTCACCTTTGTGTGAATTTATAATATAACATGGTAAAATGCTATAATAATGTAAGATCAAAAATTTTCAACTATATTTGCTTGATGTCAGTATAGAGAAAATTCTACTTCAAGGAACAAATTCAGTGGATGTACATATACAAAAAAAAGGTACCAACAAAAGCATAAATTTTCAGGAGTTTTATTGGACAGCCTTTTTTTTTTTTAAGTATTAAAGCCCCATTTCTCTTTGATGCTTTACTTTAAAATAAAATGTACTTACCAAGTAAAAATGTTACTGTATTATTTAACTTTCTGGGGTATATTTATTGGTCTCGCTGGGGGCTTTCCAAATTCAAAACGGATTAGGTACATTTTCTTTTCATTTCCCAGAAGTACTGATATCCCAGTAGACTGGAGCCTGCAGGTGTAGAGGGACAGGTGCCCAGCATCTGTGCTGAAAGCTGTCTCAGGGGAGCTGCTGTCCCTCACTGCGTCTGAATAATGGCCTGAAGGGGCTGCTGAAGGATCTCCTGTGCGTTGGTGGAATATTCACTGATACAGATGTTTTGCTTCTTTTCCTCATAGTTTGTTTCTGAGCATGACAGCAGTAAAAGCAATTGACTGCTGAGTTACTTTCCAGTTGTTCCATGACAAAGTAGAGAGTAGCCCAGATGCGTTTAAGAGCATCTTTGGTAACACAAAGCGACTGTAAGATTTTACCTGTGCACCAGTTAATCTGACTTCTCTCATGTTACTGTATGGGCTGAAGCAAGCATTCCCCACACTGACCAGCCTTTCAGTCAGTGGGGTGCTGCTGACATCCCTGGCTCATTGCAGTATGTTCTGCCTGTCACTCAATTCAGACATTTAATTCTCAATTTCTTTTATTTTCAGGGATGTTCCGGTTGTGGAAAATGTGATTGCAGTGGAGTAAAAGGGCAAAAGGTAAGCTCTGTCCATTTCATTTCCTTGCCTATTTCAACCACGGGGTATAGAATCCACTGGGAGCCAGGTGAGCCCTGGCGTTCAGGGAAGGCTTGCAGTGCCAGGGAGCACTGCCAAGGCCAGGCCACGGTGCCAGCAGCAGTGTTTCCGAACAGCAGCTCTCTGTGTCTGTGGTGCAGAGGGCAGGAGGGCCAGGGTGGGGGGCAGGCAAATGCCCTCGCTGTGGAGTGAAGCCCCCAGCCCAATGTGGCCGTGCCCTCTCTCCTTCCCCATTGAGTGGGATGCTACCCTGTCACTCCCACCTTTTCCTCACCTCATCTCCAGCCTTTTCACTGGGTAGCAGGCTTGACATCCTGAGCATCTCTGGAAGTGAGGCAAGCAGTTCTGTTCAGAAATGCTTCTCTCAGCATGCCGTGCAGATTGCTCTCCAGGATGGTTGTGATGCATCATAATCAATGAACCGTGACCAGGGTTAGCCCTGGGAGGCAAAGACTTGCAGTAAGGAGAGGGAGGTTAATGATCAGCTTAGATACAGAAAAGTGTTGCAGGTCAAGAAACAAAGAATTTAAAACTTTTGACAGAACCTTGCAAAAGGTTTTTAAAGTTCCCATTCAGTTATCCAAACTTCTTGTGTATGAAACAAAAAAAAGGCACTTTAAAGTCTTCTTTTAAAGCAGTAACAGTGAAGAAAATTTTAGTGCACTTAAGCATTCCGTGAATTCCCCCTGTAAATTACCTGCTTTTGTAAATATTGTAGACATTCAATCACTCTTCCTTATCTCTTCCAATTTTGCTTGTGGAGATTTTAATCTATGATGTGTTCCCTTGTGTGTGCATATGTGCTGTACATCTACCATTATAAATGAATGTAAACTGATTTTATCATCCTGTGGTTGCTTTGGGTATGTTTTTCGAGGTAAGTTGTTTAGGTCACCCGAAGGAATACTTAGAAGAGATGGGGGGGATTGTTTGCTTTTTGTTTTGGGGTTGTTTGTTCCTTGAAACAAATAGACAGCTGTTTTTCTGCTTTGTTTCAAAGGCAATAGCTGCATATTTACAGATGATGGATCTGAGAATGTCTGTTGGTGGCTTTTCTTTGGTGTTTTCCAGAACTAGGAATGTAAATTATTTAATTGGAGGCCCAAGCAAGATAATTTTCTTAGTAACAAAGCATTGATTAATTTGTGATACAGATAAAAAGTGTCAAGGTCTGAAACATCAATCAGATGGAATCTCCTTTGTTAATAACCCATTAATGTCTGTTTAATAAAAGTCAACTATTATTGAAAATAAATACAGCAAAGATTTGGGAAAGGTTCAAAACGCTGAATTTATGCTTTGAAAGCTTGATCTTATTGTTCAGTAACAAGTACAAATGAGTCATGGTAGAATGAAGGAGACACATTACAACTCTTTCGCTGAAAGACATCAGTTTTCAGTTCATAGAGTATGCCAGCATCTTGTAACAAGATAATTTTAAAAAAAGATAGCTTGCATCAGCAACAGCATTAAACCTTATGCTTCATTTATTTCCAGCTCTGTTCCTGTCTCTTTGCTAGAGCTCTTGCTGGCATTTTTTATTTGCATAGTCCAGAGTCTCAAAATGTTCTCTTTAAACGAAATAGATGCTTGTCTGATATGCTAGAATCCAAAACTACCTCACATTAATGTAGGCTGTTTAAAAATATTGGTGAGAGAAAAATATCTCTTCATAGTAGCAGAAGACATATTAAATTTCAGTGAGTCAGTGTACTCTCCACTCTTCCTAATGGGTTCCATAATAAATTTCTCTGATTTAAGCAGGTGTATAATGAAGTATTCGCATGATTTTAGACTGTGCAGGAAATGCAGTTATTGACATTAGAGACATCTAGACAGGTGAGTGAATAGTCAGGCCTAGAAAATGATAGTCAAGAAAGGCATTTGAATGTATTTTGGAATCCATATAACATGATATGAACCCGGTTCATATCAATGCTTGCTCATTATGTTAACTCTGTTTCAAACATACTTAGGATTTTGAACAGAAAACTGAGTTTATTTTTTAAACACCTGCCCCCTGCCCTACAGCCCTGTGTAGTTTTTCATCCTGATTCATTTGTTTGATGTCTGTCTAGAATAAGGACAGTCTGCCCCTTGGTCCCAGGGCTGGAGACAGAACCTGGTGAGAGAAAGTAAGGGGAGAATCCTTCCTGCTTGCCTCTTTAATATTTCTGTAAGTGGTGTTTCCAACGAATGCATTCGGATTGGAAATATGGATATGTGGTTCCCATTAACACACACATCAGTAATGGTACCTCTTACTTCAAAAATCTATGTGAATATTGCTTAATCAGAGGTCAGATTAGACTGATCCTAGCCAGGATCCGGGCTAGGAGAAGGCTGCCATGCCCAGCTCCTGCGGTACCCCAAGAGACCACAAAAGAGAACATCTGCTCTCCACTTCTCATGTGGGAGCACATATCCACTCTACCCTACACCATCCACAGCCAGCATTCTGCCTACACTGGAAACCCCTTTGATCTGGCTTCCATGTCGTGCTGAAGGGCACAAACGCTGAAGGGTCTTTTCCAATCCTCCCACACTCTTCAGCAATCCACCCACACCACTTCACTGCCTTGGGAGCTTTGGGAGCTGCGGAAGTGGGTGCTGGGTTTAATAAGTAATGCCTTAATTATTAACATCTGGAGAGATATTTCCTAACGTAGTGTGGGAAGAAGTTCCAGACCCAGAAGTTCCAGACTGGGGTTTAATTAAAATTCATTTGGCCAAACAATCATATTCATGATCTCATCAGAAAAAGTGCTGAAAATGGTATTTGACTTAATTTGACTTAAAAGCTGTGAAATGCCCAGGAAATAGTACCCAAGAGCATTCCAGACATGGAAGAGTAAATTACATTGCCATTTTTTTCTCTCTCCTTTGAGAATAATTTCATCAATATGATGGCCATATTTAGAGTACATTTAATATGTTCTCCCATCAGACTGTTTCCATGAAAGTAACATTTCTATGCCAAACTCCTGTAACGTGATTCATATATTATCAAGGGTATATAATTGACAAACTCTAAGGGTTTTCATCCCTTTCAGAAAATTTGGATAGTGAGCATAATTGCAACAGATGGCTCTTATCGTATAAAGCCTTTATTATTACACTGAACATCAAGCTGTTATTTTAAGCTATGCAATGTCAAATATCACATATTTGCCAAACAAAAGGTAAAGACATTTTAGAAAAACATAATATTGCTAAAATAATAAATACCTTACTGTTTTCCATTAGAGAGATTAACCTAAAACATCTTAATTTATTACCTCTTACGCTTTTTATTTGGTTTTCTGCATAATAACTTGACTGTTCCCTTAAACCTCACTGCAGTGTGAGATCTGCTTAAACTGATTAGTTTTGAATGCTTGTTTGCATTTTATTGAGCTACTCAGAAGACTGAAGCTATGTTTTCTCTTTTATGCCTACCTAGATTTTGAGAACAATTTCAAGCAGCTGTTGAGATAAGAAGTGCTAGCCGTTAGTGCGTGCAGAAAAAACATGTTAAGCATTAAATTACCATTCAGAACAAAGACTGCACAGAGATGAGTAAAATTCTCAATGCACTGACTTTTTCTAAAAATGCTCCTTCTCTCATTCATGACCATTTGCACTACTTTTATTCTGTATCAGAAACATGTGCAAATGGAGGCAACACTGGATCCTTGCTGTAAGTAATACAGAATGATTAATCTTCTTAGACTTATCAGTTAGAATGAACTGAAGTATAAATTGTCATTCTTTAGTAGAGATATTTTATGATGATTTCACTGTCTCAGCATTACCCACTGAAAGTTGAAGTCAACAAGACTATCAAACATGCTTTTGTCATTGAGCATGAAGTATTGCAATTGAAAAAAATACTCTTTGATAAATAGAAGATAAGAGTAGAATTAACTCTTAATGTAACTGCTGGTTTTGATATTTTTATTGTTTGAAAGCAGGAGAAATTGAGAAAAGAATTTTATTTGGCATATATTTGTTTCCCTAATTCTGAGACTGTATCTGTATTATTATACCTACATAAAATTTAAATTCTCTGTTTGCCTTGATGGGTGCATCACCCCTGTGTGGATTGACCATGCCACAGAAGTACACAGACTGGCTTTGCTTGAGGTATTTTGGATCTGGAAGCCAGGTAGCTCTGACTTAGACTGAGAGTCAGTGGGACATCTCTGGAGTTCCCCATCAACAGGAACAGAGACTTGCACACTTCTACAGCCTTAAAAATCGCAGATGGTTTTGGTGTCTGCAGGGAATTGTGCTTCTCCCTTTGCTCTGTGAAATGAAGAGTTGACTGTTGCAGTGGACTGTGTCCCTGTATTTTTTTTAAGGTTTACCAGACTGGGTGGATCTTTGAGGATTTTCTGTCATTTTACGCATCAAAAGATAGAACAAAAATATTTCAAATATTGATGGTTTAACACAATATAAACTCCCTTGTCGGAGAGAAGCCCTGGCAGTCAGTGCAAAGATGACTATTAAGTACTTTGAGTTTCCTTGAAAATATATCAGAGGCAACAAGTCAGTTCCTTTAGTGGAACAAATCAGTAATCATTAGAGCTGTGCTTTTCATAGTCAACTTTTATTAGACTTCTTTAAATCAAGAATGTTAATTTTTTATCATTTTACATTGACGCTGCTTGTTTTAGTAAGCACTCCTTAGTGTTCCTATTTATGTCCCCTGAGAATGAGAGGACACAGTCTTATGCTGCACCAAGGGAAATATAGGCTGGATATTAGGAAAAAGATTTTTATGGAAAGAGTGATCAAAGTGCTGGAATTGTCTGTCTGGGGAGGTGGCGGAGTCACCATCCCTGGATGTGTTTAAAAAAAGACTGGATGTAGCACTAAGTGCCATGGTTTAGTTGAGGTGTTAGGGCATGGGTTGGACTCAATGATCTTGGAGGTCTCTTCCAACCTAAGGATTCTGTGATTCTGTGAAGTGGCTG